GGCAGGTCGGACAGCGGGGCTGTGGTTATGTCCCCCCCGCCGCCGCCTGGCCGAGGGAGGGGACATTTCCTGTAGAGCTGAGGATCCAGGACCAGACGGGGGTGTGGCTAGTCGTGGTGGCTCCATTTACTCCAGGCTGCCCACACAACCTCTTCAAAGCTCAGACCCCATCAAGCAGCACCGGCCCCGATCCGTCCGAACTCCCTTTTTTCATACAATAAATGCAATTGGGAGCTGCTCTGGTCAGCCCCAGGTGGCTGGCGCTGTAAGCCAGGGGTCAGGGACAGGAGAGCTTCCCTGGGTGTGCCTGATGTACCACGTACAGACACACTCAGCAACCAGGGCTCTGACCCTCCATGGGCTGTTGCATCCTGGTGCCCAGGGGTCTTTGGGGTCTGTCAGCATCAGACTTTCCCCTCTGCACCTCTGGGACCACCAGGATTAACAGCAGCCTGGTGGCCACATCATGTCCTTGATCCTTCCAGCTCCTCACGCTCCTTCTGACCATTGCGAGGGTGCTGGCCTCCTCCTGGAGCTTTACAAACAAGGCTCAGCCGGGAAAGACTGCGAGGAAGTCTTCAGGCAGCTAAAGGAAGCGCTGAAAGGCAAGTGGTTCCTGTGTCTAATCATGTAGATGGGATTTTCAAATCAGGTCAAAAGTCTCTTTCCTTTGACGCCTTAGGTAATGTCAGATAGCATGAATTACTTATGAATGAATGAATGAATGAATGGATTGCTGAATGAATGATTGAATTGCTACATGCTGACAATATCCCTGTTTGCCCATATTTCCAAAAATCCCCATGGCCACTTGGATACACACAGGCTCAGGTTTGCAAAAGGGCCTGAGAAAATTTGACCCCTAAATCCTATTGCTTTTTAGTGACCACCACAACTGCATTTGCACCCATTGAACATCCTGTTGAGCTCTAGAACATATTGAATGAGCCTCCCATTGCTCATCTCAAATCTAACCTAATTTTTCCCGTTCTCTGAGCAGTTAAGAAAACCAAGAATTCCTACCTGAAGTGCAGTCAGGTGCATGAGGCCTGGAAATTTAAGACGTGGGAAGAAAGAAAGCCAGAGTTCACTGCACTCATCAAGGATTTTAAAACTGATCTTCAAGGTGAGTTTTACAGACTCTGCTGTCCCTTAGACGGGGCACTCCAAAGACAGACAGCATCTGGACTTTGCAAATTATTCCTCCAGATGTGGGAGCCAAAGCACCAGATGTGTCCCATGTGGGAGAAAAAAAATGGTCATTTCACTATTTCATGATTCTGAGTGTTTCAGTTCTTCCTTCTTCTCTTCCTCCTCTCTCCCTCCCCCCCCAACTTTAAGAGGTAAAGGCAAAAAGTGATGCTCATTCGTCCAGTAAAATAGCGGCCTTTCAACACTGTGCCCGGCCATGAAGAGGAAAGTAAATCATTTTGCATCTTCTAGGAATACGATTTTAAAAAGCATTTATTCTGCATTTATTTATTTTGATTTCTGTTAGGAAACAGGAGTCTGGGCACCTTTGCAATCATCTAGCAATGTGGGGGCCATTCAGCTTAGCTCTTTGGCCGGCCTGGGGGGCGATAGTGAAACCCATACTAGTGACCGAGCCAAGTCCATTGTCATGGGTTCAAACGCATCGGGGCTCTGGGCTTTCTGGCTACTGACGACTAGTAACGCACTTTGTTTTACAATACACCTGGTTCAGTTTTTTATCGCAGCCTGTGCTCTTTGGGAGCTTCCGTGACATCTATTGTGCTAGCTCCCTGCGCTGAGCCAGCATGAGTTACTGAGGGAGCCTACAAAAATGCACACAGCCGAACGTTTATCATCCGTGATTGAGCAGGATTAGCCTGAATTTAGTACATCCTTGTCCCAACCTACTGCCCTGGTCAGTCCCAGGTGGCTGGCCCCAAGTGTTGGGAGAGGGGAGCTCTAACCATTACACTCCTCGCACGGGTGTGCCTGAAGTACCACGTACAGACACACTCAGCAACCAGGGCTCTGACCTCCACGGGCTGTTGCATCCTGGCATCCAGGGGACTTCGGGGTCTGGGAACATCAGACTTTCCCCTCTGCACCCATGGGGCTACCAGAATTAACAGCAGCCTGGTGGCCACATCACGTCCTCGTTCCTTCCAGCTACTCACAGTTCTTCTGGCCACTGCTGGGGTGTCGTCCTCTTCCTGGAGCTTCACATGCAAGACTCCGCCAGGAAAGACTGCGAGGGAGTCTTCAGGGAGCTAATGGAAACCCACAGAGGCAAGTGGATCGGCGGGACTAGATTTACTGCCTGTTCCTTTGTCTAATCATGTAGGACGGGATTCTCAAAGCCTATTGGCTGTGGCGTCATAAGTAATGTCCCAAGTCATGAATTGCAGAATGAATGAATGAACCGCAGAATGAATTGCTCCATGCTGACAATATCTGTGTGTTTGCCAGTATTTCCACAAATTCCCGTGGCTGGTCCAGTACACACAGGCTCAGGTTTTCAAAAGGGCCTGAGGAAATTAGAACCCTAAAACCTATTGCTTTCTAATGGCTTTTGAACATCCCTGTGCCCCGAAACGGATCCAATGAGCCTTCTATGACTTAGCTCCCATCTAAGCTCATTTCACCCATTATTTATGCAGAAGGTATCAGAAATCATCACCTGATGAGCTGTGACCTGGCTTCATTCCCATACTGGAAGATCGTGACAGAAGGATTCTGGGAGATAGCTCACTGCATCTGGGAATGTGAACAGGAAGCTGCAGGCAAGTCTTGTACAAACGTTGGTCACTTAGATGGGCTTCCAAATTTCCAAATTCCTGCTTCACATGCAGGAGCAAAGAACCAGAGGTGTCTAAAAGGGAGAAAATTGATGGTTTCACTATTTCCCTGTGTAATTCAGCATTTCAGATGTTTCAGTTCTTTCTTCCACTGGTTTCCCCTTCAGATTAAGGGGTAAAAATAAAATGCTAAAATCACCACGATCTGGTTAAAGGGTAGGAAACAAAGATTCATAGAATCACAGAACACGAGCACTGGAAGGGCTCTTGAGAGATCATCAAGTCCAGTCCCCTGCCCTCACAGCAGGACCAAGCACCGTCTAGATCAGAGGTGGCCAACCCACTTAACAGAGAGCTGAAACAGCTGTGGAAAAAATGCAAAGAGCCGCACCAGAATTGTTGAGCAAAAAAACCCCAAAAAACAGGAGACTGCCCCTTTAAGAAACAAACTCAGGCGCCATTTTGAATTGACGCCCCAGTGAATACAAAAGCTGGCGGAGGGGGCAGAAGAGGCTTTGCGAGTCACAGGTTTGAGGGAGAAGAGCCGCATGTGGATCATGAGCTGCGGGTTGGCCACCTTTGGTCTACATCATGCCTGACAGATGTTTATGTAACCTGCTCTTAAATATCTGCAATCATGGAAATTCCACAACCGCCCTCGGCAATTTATTCTGGCAAGGAGTTCCACAGGTTGTTAAATAGTTTTCCTAATGTGCAACCTAAACCATCCTTGCTACAATTTAAGACCATTGTTTCTTGTACTACCATCAGAGGTTAAGGAGAAAATTTTTCTTCCTACTCCTTGTAACAACTTTGTACATACTTGAAAGTATGTCCCCTCTTAGTCTTCTCTTCCCCAAACTAAACAACCCTAATTCTTTCAACCTTCCCTCATAGGTCCTATTTTCTAGACCTCAGTCATTTGTTCTCTAGACTTTTTCCAATTTGTCCACATCTTTTCTGAAATCTGGTATCCAGAACTGGACACAATACTTCAGCTGAAGCCTAATGAGCACAGAGTAGAGCAAATAATTACTTCTCGTGTTTTTCTTAATTAAAAAAAAGCCAACATAATTCTTGGATGTATCAGTATTATACTCCTCTCCTTTCTAAGCTGACAAGTCCCATCACCATTTGTTCTGACCCACCTCACTTCCCCCCATGGGGCTGCAGCTGGGCAGAGGCGATTGTGTTTCCTGGGGGAAGGGAATTTAAATGTCCAATTTCTTGGGAAAAGACCCTGCCCCCTCAAGCTCCCCCTGACCCCAAACAGATTTCGGCCCTGTCTGGTCACTGCTCACCCAGCGATCCCTTCTCCTAAATGCTGCTCTTTCCTCAAACCTGCTCCCCATCCCACAGCCGCTCATCTCAAAACTGGCCCTCAGTGATACCAGTGGAAATACAAAGAAATGCCTCTGACTTTGCCCCTCCCACCAACTAGCGTCCATGTGGGGGAAAGCCAAATGTGTCCACAGATTCCTTCCAGCTTTTTGTTTGAATTGACGTTCCCCTTTGGGTCTCTTTCCCCTTGTTCTTGACTTTCCAGGATTCATAAAGAGCATGGCGAATCTCTTGTGGAAAATCGCACGCTGCCTCTGCACCTGGACGTGGGGCACCACCCACAACTTCCTCTACGGAAGCGGTGAGCAACCTCCATTGGACTGGCCCTTTCCACGTGGGGCCCTACCCCCGTGGCACCATGACTGTGGGCAGCAGAGAGTGGGGTGTGGGGGGGAGAGTGCTGGGAAAGGCCTGGGGGAGGGGCAACAATCTTATAGCCCCGAAAACTCTATGAAGATAAGGTCATGAAACGTCTCACAAATTTTGTCTTGTAACCTACCTATCGCCCCATTTCTGTGGCCATACGATCCGAGGGCCTGTTGACAGCTATGAACAGCCAGCAAGGCCAAGCAATGTTTTTATTTCCGTGTTACTGAAGGTGAACTGAGGTGCCAAACCACAAAACGATCGTGTCTAGGTCACAGAACAAGGTGGGTGAGGGCTACAGCAGGTATCACAGATGTCTGGACGTCCCTGAGCTCCAGAGCGGGAAGAGAAGGGTGGTAAAAAGGGAATTTCTGCTTTTGGTGCCAGCGAACTTTTCTGAATATTGGGTCTGGTTTGGTTTGCATTCTCCTGAGAGCTGGGGTGGAAATGTTATTTTCCTGGTTTTATTAGAATGAAATTTCAAAGTGTCCCCCATCCTCTTTAAGGCAGGAGAGCACTGGTCCATGAGTTACAAGGTGGGCAGAACAGGAGCATCCCAGTGATTTGCTCTCTGTTTATTCCCCAAAGGAGACACTCACTCAGCTTCCAGACACTTCCTGGAGCTTTGAAAGGGGAGGGGCACAGGCCTGCAGGGCAGCAGAGATCACAGAACACTGAGCAGAGCCAACAGGGTAGCATTGTGGGATACTGGCGGAAGCCAGTTCTCTTGACAAAACAAACAGCAGAGTCCACACTGGCTCTTTAATGATGATAAAGGGAGGGAGACAGACATCTCTCATGGGGATGGAAGTTTTTTGTTGCAAAACTGGGTGTTTTTCCCAACAAAAGTTGCATGTTTTCAAGGGAGTTTAATCCTTACATGAAAACAAGACCTGGATGCATTTTTCGCAGATAAGGCCCATGTCACTGGCTTGACCAACAAATTAATCTACTTGATCGATGCCGGCCTTTGTAACAATTCTGCCTACCCGCTGGTGCTGCGCCAAAAGAGGAATGTGAAACTGATCCTCTCCTTTGACTTCAGCTCGGGGGATCCCTTTGAGGTAACGTCTATAGTTTGTGATGTCGCCCAAAGCCTGAACTGCGATACAGTAGAGCACAAGCCATAGAATCATAGAATCCTGCAACACTAGCGCTGGAAGGGACCTTGAGAGGTCATTGAGTCCAGTCCCCTGCCCTCGCAGCAGCACCAAGCACTGTCTAGACCATCCCTGACAGGTGTCTGTCCAACCTGCTCTTAAATATCTCCATCCACAACCTCCCCAGGCAATTTATTCCAGTGTTTCACCACCCTGAGAGGTAGGAAGCTTTTCCTCATCTCCAACCTCAACCTCCCTTGCTGCAGTTTCAGCCCATTGCTTCTTGTTCTATCCGCAGAGGCCAAGGGGAACAATGTTTCTCCCTCCTCTTTGTGACACCAGCCTGGGAGGTTTTGAATCCCACAGCCATAGTGTAAGTGCTGTTACACAACGATTCTGGCTGCAGGGATGTGGCAATCGGGTCGTGCCTGGGGAGGTCCTGTCCATCAGTTCCATAGAGGCTCCTTGGAATGCTTGTGTCTCTCAGGTTAGGTGCACCTCTAACGCTCTAGCCTGGCCACAGTAGCGGGATCATACGATGCGAGTGGAAATGCTGATGGTTTATTTTACAATCTCTTTTCCCTCCTCCCCAGACCATCAGGAGAGCGTCCGAGTATTGCCAGGCAAATGGGATCCCATTTCCCCCGGTAGATGACAAAAAGTTTGACAAGAAAGACCGAGACAAGCCCTCCAGTTGCTACATCTTCAAGGGCAAGACAGGTCCCACCGTCATGCACTTCCCGCTCTTCAACACAGAAAACTGCCCTGGTAAGTGAGTCGATCTTGTGTTCTTCTGCCACTCTGCGGGCTGGATTCCCTAAGGGACGAGGTGCCTCATTGCTGGGTTAGCCACCGCCAGGACAGAATCCCTGCTCAGAGGGGCCACCAGACTCTGCTGTCCCATCCCAGGCTTCCAGAGGTGTGAGCGGGGGAAGGGAGACAGTCCTCTGCCTCCCCTGGCTGCAGGAGGATGTGCTGAGTGGAGGCCAGGAGGATCGGCCCTGGGCCTGTTATCAGACAAATGCTGGAAGATTTCCCGGCGTTGCTGGGTACTTC